TCCACCATGTAAAGTTTTGTCCCACTGAAACACCTTTCCTGCATCTTTAACAAATTGTCTAGTCCTGTGAGGTGTGACTATAGTATTCAGCTCATAGCCCGGAGGGGGTTCTGAACCAAGACGTGTAAGATCTGGATATAAAGAAGCTGAGGCCTCTGATGCAGCACTCTGCTCCGTCTGAATTACTGTGTTTGGTTTTCTGTCAGAGTCTATTTTCGGAGCTGACTGAGAAGGAGGAAACGCTGCGGCACCTGCATGCCCACGCGTGTCCTCCTGCCTGACTGCACGACGATACACACAGTTCTCGTCATCTTCCTTCCTAGAAAACAACACAGCCTTGGCACGTCTAGCTGATGTGCCCTTTTCCCTCTTCAAGGCTATCTGCATTCAGAAATCTATGTCATCAAAACCGAGGTTAGCCATGAGCTTACTGTTTTGTTTCGTTGCCGTCTTAATCTTATCTTTTAACACTATCAGCTGTTGACTATTTAGCTGGCCTTGGAAACAGAACTTACTTATCCATGTGTCTAAATGTTGTACTTTAGTTTTGTCTAATTTTTCAACATATTTCCAGTCTTTGCACACAAGTTCATCTTTAAGTTGTGTTTTGCTGTTAGTTTTACCCATTTTTAAATAATTTAGAACCAGTCGTCTCGCCTAGGGCTTCTAAAAACTGGTTTGTTTCTCCTCCAGTGAGACAGTGATTAATTTATCCCTTATGGTAACACTTGTTCAGCCGTGTAGTGATAGGCCAAGTGTTCTTGCATACATGCTTCCACAAAGGGCTCACTGTTTACCTCCTCACTGCTTTGGTATGAAAACTGATACCTAATGGTATGCAGCTTTCCACACACACTCACATGCACACACACACACACAGGTACCTTGACTTATTATTTAAAACAGAGGGCTCCGCCGCCCTGCACGGAATTTAACTGTTTTATTTCCTGCCTAGGACTTACTACACGCGTACCTGATAAACGCACTTTCTTTGATAAAACAGGGGACTCCGCCGTCCCACGGACTTTAACTGTTTAAGACAGAGGGCTCCGCCGCCCTGACGGAATTTAACTGTTTATCACCAGGTTTTCTGCCTGTCAGAGTCTAGAATATCACAGGTCTTTACTTCCTGTATAAAAAACAGGGGACTCCGCCGTCCCACGGAATTTAACTGTTTCAGACAGAGGGCTCCGCCGCCCCTACGGAATTTAACTGTTTTATACTGAATGCCCTCTTAGGACTTATAACTTTTACGCATGCTTTTCCCTACTATTATGCAGCCCTACGCGGCGACTGCCACACATTCACTTCTTTAAAGAAAAAAAATTACTCACTGTCTCAGTTGCCCCGCCTAGGCTCTTCCGTCACTCGCTGGATCCAGCTGGAGCGAAAAGGAAGCACGGCCCCTTCAACAGGTAGCTTTGCTGTGGCCACAGACTTCAACCGAGGTCCTTAACGTCCGCTGGATTCAGAGAGATATTGGAAACCGGCGCTCGAAGGACCAAATGATAGGTATTTTTCCTAAATACACACAAAAACAGGGGAGCAAATGAGACAATTTAAACCATGGCTTAGAATCAAAGTGAGGAGAACGCTGGACAGGAAGTCTCTTTTACACCCAAATCCATCGTTCTAAGAGACTTCCTGTAGTTCAGCCTCTTTTATTTAGCTTTCCACGCCCCTAATTACATTGGGTCATGAGACTGCCTAAGGGAGGGGGGGNGAAACGTTTAGTCGTTCTGTCAATGAGTTCTTCCACTCTACGTTTTAAGTCCTGGGAGTTATGGGCCAAGGGAGCACCCGTTGCGTCATTGGGTGACCAGTCRGCCACCACATGATGCCAGTCCAATGCTAAAGCTGTCATCCAAACTTGCTGAACCTCTACACCATTTAAATGATAAGACAGTCTCAAGCCTTCCATGTCTTGCACAAATCTACCAACATCCTCTTTAACTGGAGTCACACCTGCAACTGCCTTTTTAATGTCATCTGTTGTCCAAGTCCGAAACACCAACATTGTCCGGTCATTAACCCCTACAGCATTCGGGTTGGGGACCTCAATCATAGGAAAAGTGTCAGTCGAGTCAGGTGTAGTTACCGTAGTCTCAGTCACAACGCGTCCAAYTCCACCATGTAAAGTTTTGTCCCACTGAAACACCTTTCCTGCATCTTTAACAAATTGTCTAGTCCGGTGAGGTGTGGCTATAGTAGTTAGGTCATAGTCTGGAGGGGGTCCTGTACCAAGGCGTGCAAGATCTGGGTATAAAGAAGGTGATGTCGCTGCTGCAGCGCTCTGCTCTGTCTGAGCTACTGTGTTTGGTTTTCTGTCAGTGTCTATTTCTGGCACTAACTGAGAAGGAGGAARCGCTGCGTCACCTGCATGCCGAAGCGTGTCTTCCTGCCTGCCTGTTGCACGATACACACAGTCATCGTCATCCTCTTTCCTAGAAAACAACACAGCCTTGGCACGTCTGGCTGATGTGCCTTTTTCTCTCTTCAAGGCTATTTGCATCCAGAAATCTATGTCATCTAAACCAAGGTTAGTCATGAGCTTGCTGTTTTGTTTCGTTGCGGTTTTAATGTTATCTTTCAACTCTATCAGTTTTTGACTATTTAGTTGGCCTTGGAAATAGAACTTACTTATCCATGTGTCTAAATGTTGTATTTTGGTTTTGTCTAATTTTTCAACATATTTCCAGTCTTTGCACACAAGTTCATCTTTAGGTTGTGTTTTGCTATTAATTTTACCCATTTTTAAATAATTTAGAACCAGTTTCTCTCGCCTAGGGCTTCTAAAAACTGGTTTGTTTTT